TTCTAAACTTGCTTGCTCTTTCTTCTCCGCCGTTCTGGTTGCCTCTACCATCATCAGCTACAAGTCCCGCCATCTAGTGAGCACTGAAAGAACTAAACGAGAGGTGGCTACATGCAGGAGACGGTGCCGCCATCTAGTGAACACTGCAAGAACTAAACGAGAGGAGGCGACATACAGGAGACGGTACCGCCATCTAGTGGACACTGCAAGAACTAAACTAGAGGTGGCTACATACAGGCTAAAGGGGACGCACAGCCCACGCCCTAAGGAGCTTCGCCCCTAATAAATAAAAAAGTGCGTTCAATGCATCGAAGGGGTGGTGTGTTCTTTACCACTGTCCTGTTGGCAAGTGGTACATCGGCCAAACAGGCAGGTGTTTAAATGAGCTGCTGAAAGAGCGTGCTCACAATGTCTCTTCTACAGTTTCGGGCCACCTCGGCATTCATTGCCGGGACTGCAATTGTGTTCCTGACTTTCAGCATTGTACGGTCATTAGGCGTCATCAGGATCGGATGATACGCAAAATTTATGAAGCCGCAGAAATGGAAAGGCTGGGAAATCTATATGTCAGCATACCTTCGATTGCTTTTTCACATAAAGAAATAATTTCCTTCAGAATGTTGGCACACGTGGTCTTCATGGTGCTTTATCACGATGATTACTCGGTTGTTAGATGAATTATGTTTTTTTTGGTCTGTAATTTTTCTTATTTGTCAGATACTGCTCAAGTTTATATTGCGCTGTTCCAGCGAATAAGTCCTGTTGTAAGTCAGTGCCGCTGTCTGTCTCCTTCTTTTCTTGTCCCTCGTTATTGGCGCTGTTTTTATGTGAATGATATGATTACAATGCACATCGTAGAAGAGGGCTCCAGACTGCTTTTCACGATGTGGCATTCTTTAAACAACACATCAATATAACTGTACAGAAGCTTTTCTTTTTCAAACCACTAGAAATACAGCCGCCATTTCCAGGAATCCAACCCACAGCCTTGTGCTTAGCAGCAGTGCATTGGCCACCGATTAGTCATGATGGTATGAACTAAGAACTATTCTGATAGATTTGCACCATGAGGGCACCACTCAAGCGGCTATAAGAAAGATGGGTAAAGAGCTAGCACCAGATAGCTGGCAGAAGGACTCAGGTTTTACGTCCCAAAACCATGATATATTCCCATATGTGAAATTGTATCTTAATGTAATTGACCCGTTATATGTGTAATCATATGCCTTGCATACACCATGCCAGAACATAGAAAATTTCCGACCAGTTTAGATTGTTACAAAAAGCCAGAATGCATAACGGGAATAGTAGTTTTTGTGGAACACAACCACCCATGATGTGGCTCATATCTTTGATGCCACGTGTAAATGCTGATTCGCCTTACCTTGTTGATCAGGTAAGAGAGAGCTGACAATGACAACACTTGCTATCACTTCCTGTTTTTGCAGTGTACAGCATCAAGGCCTCTGAAACTGGCTTCTCCTACGCAGGGGATTTTCTTCAGGGTGTTGTCGATTCTCTTTCGTCACACTGCTATATTATTCAACTGCAACACTGAGAAATTCTCATGAAAATTTATGCAAACCAAATACCGTATTTACTTGCGTAATCCTCGCACTCGCATAATTCTCGCACCTCCCACATCGTCCAACAAAAATATTTCTTTTTTTTCCTCGAGTAATTATCGCACCACCAAAAAACTGCCAGAATAATGTGGTCTGCTCATTCAAACCACTGATGATGATAGCATGCCCTATCTGGCGCCATCTCTAATGCATCAAGTGTACTATCATTGCACGGAAATTCAATTCAATCCAAGCCAAAGTGGCAAGTGCGCGTTGCGGCGTGTTTTGTATGTTGTGTCGGTAATCCTGTCACGTTATGGGGCGATACCGAAGCTACACGGCTAATTTCAAGCTGAAAGTGATTGATGATTGAATTTCAAGCTGAAAGTGAAACTCGGGGCCTACGAGTTTTGTGTTTGCTACCTGGTGACGGCAGCTGAAAGCCACCAAGACGCGTTGGGCCTTCTGTGTGCCTAAAACAGGGATTGATGGTAAACTTTATTTCTTCTGAAGGAAACTGCAGACGATTTTGTTAAATAGTCATTAACCCAATACTGACATCCTATGCTTGCCTTTTGAGGGCTCCTGTTGACAAACGCTACCGCTACGCCCACAAGCTTTGCGTTTGGTATTCTGATTCTCGACTACTTCCTTGCACTTTTCGTGTCTCAAATAAAACTTGCCTTGTGTTGAACCTGTGCTTTTATTGTTGAGGTAAGTTTTAATTAGTGCGTCTCAAAGCTTGCTGTTAGTTGCTGGTGTGAGAATCCTGATTTGTGACCACTTCCCCCGTAAGTTTCCCCCGCGTAATTCTCGCACCCCCCAACTTTGCATCAGTTTTCCGTCAAAAAAAGTGCTGAGAATTATGCGAGTAAATACAATACACGCAATTTTTTTTCAGCCTACCGCGGGATGCATGTGGATTCAGATGCAGTGCATTGTTTAAGCTCAGGACATCAAGCTAAATAGCTTCAAACTGTCACAATCTCTTTAAAGGGTACTGATACAATAATCAGTTATTTTTTTTTCATCAAATGAAAAACCAAGCCCTCAAGAGCCTATAAAACGTACGGCCAGGTAGGTGCAGCCTAAAAAAGTAATTACAGTATGTTTTAAAGCTAGTTTCGGTTCCTGCTGTACCTTGACGTCACAGCACGGTACGAGCTTCTGGTCAAGCGCTCATGAAAGATATGACATTTCCGTAGCCGCTCGTCACTGTGGCTCTGCTGGCAATGCACAAGTGGCCATTTTTGGAAAGTTCTGGTGCTTGACACTATCACAACTAGCCAGACTGCTGCATGAGGCCACCACAATAGACCTCTACCAGGGTACGTCACAGCGTGACGTCACCGGTGCTTGTGCAAGGCGGTGGTTGGCAAAACACTCCCGCCGGTGGCTGAGTGGGGTGCAGTTGCTCGGTGCGTTTTTTTTTTCTTCTTTTTGAAAACTGAACCTTCATCTTACAGTGGGAACATTAGCTTGGGATATGGCAGAGAACATCTAGGTGTGTGGTAAAGTGCGTGATGAAATATTTGCCACGCTGGCTGGCTGTTTATTTCGAAGAAGTGAACACTTGTGGCGGCCTGTGCGAGGAGCAGCGGCATCGCCTTCGAAAATGTGCAGTGTTGATTGTGGCGTGTAGTGTGCGTTGAAAGGCATTGGCAATATTGGTTCACCATTACAGACGGTGAAACTGGGAATATTGTGCGTGGTGTGTGCAATGTGAATAACACGGTGCGTCCTGTTTGCAAAAACTCTGGTATTCGCTGTGAGCCGGTTGCAGTAACCGGTTGTCGATGGAACTTTCCGATCTGACATTTTTAGTCAAGGTGAAAATGCATTTGACGCGGTCATCTGTGAGTGGATACATCGTCGTATGTGTAGCGTGCAAAAAAAAATATAAAAGTGCATGATCTCCAGGGTGAAATATGCGACTACGCATGAGCATGTTGAAGCGTTGCTGAATCTGCATATACGCTTCACCATGGCTATAACTCGTATTATCAGACACCTTACACATGTTAATAAAAACAGCAGAGATTTTCGTTCCTTATCTACTTCGTATGTTTACGGCTTGATCCTTATGAAGTGACAATGCACATTAGAAGTTTGTGTATCAGGTCTAAAAAAGCAATATAGGTACGAAAACACGTCACAGGTGTCAAATGCAGCAAGGTAACTGTGCTAAATATATTATATATAATTACGTTGTTGGGTTTTACAGCACGAGTTTTCACTGGGTGATTGAGAGACACAGCGGGAGAATTTCACTTTTTTTTTCAAGAGAATATTTTAACCTAACAGAATATTTAGCCTAACAAGAAGTGTTTCTTTTTTTTTCTTTCATCTCTGATCAGATTTTGCACAATGAGTGAGAATCTTATCCGTGACATTGCACACAGCAGCTCAAATCCATGCTGCTGCCAATGCTGTACCTTGTTTACAACTGCACTGCACATGCCACGATGAAAGTAAGTTTAAATCCATGCTGTCTAAAAAAAAAAAAAAATTTCTTTAAGTGCCAGTCACCGTGCACATTCAAAACTTTCGATTTCTAACAAGATCAGATTTTTTTTTTTTTTCATGGCCGCCATCTACGTGGGTGAGGCCCACTGCGGGCCAGTCGCATCTCTCAGTAAAGTTTCTCCATCCATCCATCGCCCCGCCGCGGTGGTCTAGTGGCTAAGGTACTCGGCTGCTGACCCGCAGGTCGCGGGTTCGATTCCCGGCTGCGGCGGCTGCATTTCCGATGGAGGCGGAAATGTTGTAGGCCCGTGTACTCAGATTTGGGTGCACGTTAAAGAACCCCAGGTGGTCAAAATTTCCGGAGCCCTCCACTACGGCGTCTCTCATAATCAAATGGTGGTTTTGGGACGTTAAACCCCACATATCAATCAAATCAATCCATCCATCCATCTACGACGAGCAAATTTCCACACCATGAGCCGTGACCCTTCTGTAACCCCCTTTTTTCAGAAGCTGTGACTTTAGAACATAGCAATGTAGAAATTTCTGTCGAAGGAATGCAGACACGCAGCTCTGCTATGCAGAAAAATGCCGCCGGCAAAACTTTCTTGCCAACCAGCACCTGCTCCGAGAGAGGGCATGGTAGGCGGGGTGCCCGCAGTGACATCACACTGTTTACAAACAGGGAGAGGTCTATTAGTACTGTGGCCTGACGTCAAGCTAGTGCACATTTCGGTAGGTGCCCCATGTAAAAAAATTTGCCTTAATATCAAAATAAAACATTGTATCACTGCTAGCTGAGCTTCACACTTGTTCAGAGCCATCTCTGTATACAGTAAACTTATATTCAAGAAATGGTGCGAGTAGCGCTTCAAGATGCAACACATGACTCAAGCTCGTCAACTCCAAACTGTCACAATCACTTTAGCATGGCCTTTGAGCAACATTACCCTTTGAGCAAGTCCTTACCTTTGGGCCACGGGTTTCACTCCTGAATCGCCAGAGTCAAGGCGGGAGAGCTGGAAAGGCACCATGGACAACACACCAAGCCAGAGCAGCAGCATGTACGTTGTTGGACGTAACACAATATCTCTCTCCAACAGGGCAAGGACGGGTTCTATGTCTGACAGCTGCAAAGAGTATGCGACCAAGGGATAACATGAAGAGCAGAGTTTGCGCATCCGTTGTTCTCAGAAGCACACAAAAGACGGGAAAACTTTACTCGTTTGTACGTGTGAACTGCACAGAATAGACAGAGTTTTTTCAGCCCACAAGCTCCTTGTGGCTCTCAAAGTACCGAGCTGCCCAGAAAATGTGAGTGACCAGATTAGTGGTGCACCCTTGCAGTGCAGACATCAAGCAGGCAAACAAGCACAACTTCCTCTATAAACCGACGACTTGCTCATTGGCCATGCACGGTTCTCAAAGATGGAAGATACAGACAGAAGGTACCACCAGATGCCGCAAGTGCGACATCTACCGTAGACAATGAGGCGACTTCATTTACACTAAAAGCATGGCAGTCCTGTGCTCCTCCCACATGAGTGTACGCATTCTTTTTGTCTCTTTTTAAAGTTTCTAGCATCTAGACTGATTGATTCACAGAGTTTTAACGTTTTGAAGCAATGCTCAGGCTATGCGAAGTACCATACATGGAGGATCTTGATTAATGTTGACTACCTGACCCAAATCGACACGCGGGAGCACCTCTACAGTGCACCTTTGTCCATGTGTGTGCAGGGTGATAATCTGCAGCAAAGACAATGAAAGATAACCTACAGAAAATGGCCTGGAGAAGGCAATCCTCATATTCCTAGACGAATTAAGAGCTGATCTAGTGGTTAAGTATTTACTCTAATACACAAGGTGTGCCAACATGGACACCAGAACAGTCAAGATATTACGAATGCCAATTAACTATAACGGCACACAACAGTGGCAAAAAAAAAAGATAGCACAAAAACATATCTGCACGCGCCCAGGCAATAGGTGAACCCATCAAACTGGCATGCCAGGGGGGGGGGGGGGTCTACATTAAAAAAACTGTTAAGGCATTCAATTTCTTCTTTACGCAAGTATCAAATCAAAAACTGTGATTGGCAGCACTTATGAGAGATAAAGAGGCAGCACGCACAGCAGCGGCATGAATAGGTCGTAAGTTTATAGAGGAGGTCGTGACACAAAGCTACTGTCATTGCAAGCAAGCGTGTTCCATTTCACCTCTGGTGTAAATTTCGGGCAGAAATACGATTCACACATATTCGTGGCTTTCGCGTGGTGGCATGCCTACGGCACCCAGTATGTTCTCTATAAAGGTAACGTCAGAAAATCTCTCAGGCTTGCTCTCTCATCTTGTGATTAACTGCAGCAAGGCACAAGTAACCATGACACAAGCTTAAAAAGCATTTTCACAATCTACGTGCCAACACCTCGCTATGATACGTCACAAAGAGGGACCTAAGAATAATTTTGACCATCCCGAGTTTTCCAACGCACAGCTACATCTAATAACATGAATGTGTGTTGTTATTTTGCCTTTTCGCCCTTCAGAGCTTGCGAACTGCCGTAGCTGGAAAAAGTGTCGAGTCTTAAGTTTTCCAGACTGCGGATTTTATTTGTGCGCTCCCTACGCTTTAACGCCGACCGACTGCAGGGCGAAAATTGGGCGGCCACGCGAACGTGTAGTACAGTCATGTGCAACACGACCGAAACATCGATTGCCATTCAGTCAACAAACCATGCCTTGACTAAAACAGCTTCAACCCAGCATGACGATATGTTCAAGATGTGTCCGATAGCTTCTCCCGAATTTTCCAGCTCTATGCGACGCATTCCCCCCCCCCCCCCCTTAATCCCATTTCTGTCACTACAGACAAACATTAGTGGGGCCGCTCGTTGTGAAAGTAACTGGTACGTTTTTTTTTTTTTTTTTTTTTTTGTGCCCACGCACACCTACCTCGTGAGGTAGGTGAGTGACGACTACTTTGTGTCCGCGAACTTTGGTCACTACGACGAGGAAGCCCATGCACGCGTGCAGGACATCGTCGGTGCAGTCCGGAGACTTGACGGGTTTCACCAGGGCCTGCACGATCTCCGCCAAGTGAGCGTCCAAGAGGTACGGCTGCTCGAGATATTTGTCGAAAGTTTTCTTAAACACGTCTAGCAGGTGCTCGACCTCGCGTTCGGCGAGGCCGCCTTTCGCAACTTTACGAATCATGTCCATGACGGCTTCGTAGTCCTCGAACTCCTGTAGCTCATTCTCATCCACGCACTCCCCAGTGCCGAGCGTGGGCGCACAGGCTTCCATTGTGACAAGCACGCCCGCCGCCGGCTCCCCGCACTTGTCAACAGCGGATCGGAACGATACTGCGTAGCACAGCGTCTCAGGGCGTCATTTCTTTGCCTGCATTTGTCAATGGAGAAGGCACGCAACACTAGGCGAGAACCAATACCAACGTAAGCCGCGATCGAACTTTCAGTTTCACGACATCACTTCATTCAAAAGACACCACGAGTACGAGCATGCTACGAGCAAGGAGAGCGCCTACGAGAACCAGAGGAGGAGGTTGGAGGTGAGGGGTGTGCCCGGCCGCTGGTGTCGCTAGAAGCGCATTCCTTGTCGCCACCTATAATTTTATTCGTTAGTTTTCCCGCCTAATTGGGTCCAGTTGCTTACTGTAGTCTTTCCTGCAATCGGGCCGTCTAATGAACTAAGCAAATTTTGTTTTCTGCGAAATAGTTCATTTGATCCTCGTTCTTACAAATTAGCATATCGTGAAAGTATTCAACATGGCGTCGACTGGTAGGTCAATACGTGGGATTTCTTTTCGCATATTAGCCGAGCATTTTTCGGCAACGCAGTGCTCCTCTTTCGCGGTCACGCCGTGCGTTTTGTGCGCGTAATGTCTCGAGTCGGCGGTAAGGCGCAATCCTACTGGTGCCGAGTGCGGCGCCCGTCCGTTAAATATGGTAGTTGGTAACCGGGTCGCATTGCTGACGAGTGCTCTCGTGGGCCCGCCATAAAAATTGTCCTCCTTCGGCGTGGTTATCGCGGACGGGTTTGTCACTTATCTCGGCGGCGTTACTCATCTCTGTGTGTTAGTCTAGTCGAGGCACTTGGGGGCAGCCTGCGTGTCTCGTGGTGCTGGGCAGCGATCCGCCGGTTAAGCCTGCCTCGCGAAGAGTTCGTGGCCCGTGAGCGCGCCCAACGTGTTCATTGAACGTGCACCCTCGTGAACCTTCCAGCGCGCGGATTCATATCAGACATGCCAGGTATCGTGTACCCGAGCATATTTGAAGCGCCTACGATGGCTGTGTGACAGTTAGGCAGCGGCTATTTCGCGTTTGCCATTTTTCTTTTTTTGTCGTAGCGGCGATAGGCCGGCCAGCGTAAGCGCAGCTCTTTGGCTCTCGCTACATTTTTTTTTTTTTTCCGTGCCCCAAATTTCCGGAGTGGTGGAGTTGATCGGCGGGAGGTGTCGTTACGACGCTGGTTTTGCGTCGCGGCATGTATTAGCTTTATCGAACTACGCTTCTGTGTGTTTGAAGCCACGTGTGTTTCCTCCATTGCAGGTAAGAAACATAAGGTTAAGGGGAAGACCCTCAACCTAAATGACTTTCTGGGAGGTGATCAAGAGGCACCGTCGGGATATGCCGTGGTCAACACTCGCCGTATCAACTGGGCGGACACAATGGAAAATGAAGCCGTCGACGGTAAAGTGCACTTTTGTTCTCGGCAGTTGGCCATGCGCGGGTGCCGTTGCGTTGTATCTTTCGCGATGCTTACCGATTAGTCAGCTGATATTATTGATCGTCATGTGCTTGTGGCAGCCACGCTGCCATCACAAGACATAAATCTTTAGCTACGTGAGCGTTTCGCGACTGCCGAATTTTTCCTGCTCAGACCCGCAGCGGAGCTATCTGAACCCTTTGATTTTGTATGGCCTCGTATCTAGCGCAGCTGTCACATGCTCACGTGTAAAATGCCCTGCAATATTTTTTTGTTGTTGTTGTTGCAGCCACGTTCTGTAGTACTGGCGTGTGTATTGATGAATGCCGAGATGAGTGCATAGAAAGACGTGTGCACCTGAACTTAAGCTTCAGAATTACAAGCACTCGAGAAGTCCTGAAATGTTCTATTTGACATTTCACTCTGCCAGTCACTGGTTGGTGCCAATCACCACGGGTCAGCTACAGATGTAGTAGCCTTTGCACGAATGCACCGCAGCATTTTTCTTGGTGACACCTTTCTAAGGTTGCAACTAACCGTGGGAGAATCGAGCAGCTGACGCTTGCATCTTGTTGTGTAGTGCACAGGCAAACCATGAGCCCGGGCGACCAAGCTCTGGCAGCCTCCTGTGCATATATCGTAGCTGCCCTTCTTTCTCTCGTAGGGCCAAGCACTTACAGCGACATAAGCCATTGTTTACGGGTACTTGCAGTGAAAGTCAATGCATGGCTTCTTGCACAGCTGGCAACAATAACGTCTTGGTCATAGTTCGCACATACCGGCTACACCACGGTAGACGACACTGCAACAAGAGGCAGAGAAAGGTTACGTGCCAAGTGTGATTACTGACAACATTGAATCAAAGCACATGGAAACTTCACCACGTGGTTGCAACTGCCTGCGTCTCATGGAAGGAGTGTAGGGCAGAAATAAGTTTTAACAAGGTTGTTCACTGGCCTTCTGTATGTGCTTTAAAGGAGCACTGACATTAAATTTAGACGTGTCAAGGTTTTTGCGTGAATGAGTAGCTATTGACCCCCTAGTAGCGATCCACGACCTAAAACGCATCTGAGGTACGAATGAATATCTGTAATATGGATTATTTCTGCCATCAAACGTGGTTTAAAATAGGTCGAAAGCCCGCCAAATTTTAGTGCTGTCAGCGCTACCCCGTGGCCACGTCGAGGCCGCTGCACAGCTGATGCTGCTTTCACAATAAATGGTGACGTCACGCACACTGGCGTTTCGTCTGCTAGGAGAGCACATGCAGTCAATCCAGCTGTGTCTCCTGATGATGTCGAAAAAAGCCGCCTAAGTTAAGTAGCGCCAATCGGTTCTTCCCTCTCCCTTTAGCTCCGGTCTCGAGAAAGGGTCTCGCACTGCCAGTGAAACCCAACTCGTTCGCCAACACAGAATTTACCCTGTAGCAGGTCAGCGCAAAGTGAAGCGAGCAAATGTGGCTGTTCATCGGCGCGTACGAAGTCAACCTGATGGCTGCATTGAGGTTCGTGGCTTGGGAAGGCATGAAACACCACGCAATTCCCGCTTTTTTCGGGCCTCGACGGGCAGGTTCTCACTGCACAGCGGTTCCCCGACATTCTGATGCGTATTGTAGGCGAAAATGTTGTAGGCCCGTGTGCTCATATTTGGGTGCACGTTAAAGAACCCCAGGTGGTCTAAAATTCCGGAGCCCTCCACTACGGCGTCTCTCATAATCATAGAGTGGTTTTGGGACGTTAAACCCCACATATCAATCAATCTGATGCGTATTGTCACTCTGAATGATCACTCTAACGATGTGGAGCACATGTCAAATCAATCAATGCGAAACGATGCATCGCACGCACGCTTCAACACAGAAAGGAGAGCCATTAAGGAGAGCATGACCGGAAGTCGGCTCCAAACACACTCAGGTCATCGACGTCATTGTTACTAACGTATCGTCACTCAGGATGGTATTTGTGGAATGTGTCACACCGAACACGTAGCACTAGTGTCGATGTCGCAGGGCAGCCTATTTTCCGTTTTTTCTCCTTAGCTTTTCTACGCTGTTTGACATCGAATTAAAATACCTTCCATGTGACAGATGCCATTCAAATTTGGCCAAGAACTATGGATACCAAGCAATCGAAGAATGATGGGCACATCTCGATGTGGAAATTTGATGTCAGTGCTCCTTTAATTCGTGGCTAAATTGTGTCTTCAACTAAGACAGAAGGGCATGCAAACCTGTGATTGCATACAGCTCAACAAAGCAGGGAACACCCCTTCTATATGACCCGAAGAGCTGCCGCTGATTGCTCTCACAATAGAAGACATGTATATATGTACTCGGCTCTGTTTTAGAATGAAGCTATTTAGTGTACAGCTTACAACATTGGTTCAGAGTGCACACTCACTGGTGCAGGTTTTTGGTCATGTGAAAATGTCACTGCCTGGTGAAGAGTTCTGCCTCATTGTAGTGCAATATTGTTATTCTAAAAATGTTGTATTACAGATCAGCTATACTTCCGTACTTTATAAAGCATAATGTATTTTTTTGTGTGTGTAATGGCGTATTAGCACAGACCGTACGAATGTGTGCAAAATCATGCGCACTCACTGGTGCAGGCTTTTGTGTATCCACCGTTGATGTGGAAATGCAGCTGCCTTCTTAAATCCTACCTTACCGTAGTGTAATCTTGTAATCCTTCTGAAAATATCTTATTAGAGATCAGCAGTACTTCCCATCTCTGTAAAGCATAATGGTTTTTTTTGTTTTTTTAGTGTGCACTTGTGTAGCCTGGCAGAGATCATACGAATGTTGTGTGTAAAAATGTCGTGCGTTGCTGTGGCAGGTGCTAAAGATGGTTTCTTCAGTCAGATAAGATGACCACATCTCTCATTATTCTTGCTTGTTCTACAATATTGCTGCATTCAATTGCACCCGGAGCAGCTGTAAAAACACCACTTTTAATTTAGTCACGAAGCCTAATAAAGGTATACTGACACAAGTTTAAAAAAGTATTGCATTCTTTTAAATAAACATGCTTGTGATGATAAACATGAAATGAAAATATCATGTTGCCTGGGAATGCATTGAATATGTATTTATGACTGCTACCTTAAAAGAACACATTTCAATATAGAGGGAGCGGCTTCTCAGTCAACGTTTATACAACCTGTTCAGTTAGATAACTTGGCGATATTGCCCAGCAATGCCGCTAGCAGTGGCTGAACTGGCGCTGTTGTTGCAACAGGCTTCAGCCAGTCCAGCAACGTGCGCCTAATCGAGTGTGTTTGGCTGCGGTTGCATCGTGTTCTATGTTGCTTGGATGTTTGTTCGTCTGTAATGCCAACCTGTGTGCTTGTACGCACAAGCTGCTATAGCACTACCAAGTGCCCGAGACACTTCTGGGCTCCATGTGATTGGCTCTCCGTGCTGCATGGGATGGTGCTATTTTTTTCCTTTACAAAATACTGTCAGATAAATAGCGAGCTTACGATGTGCATTTTCATGCTGACGACACCTTGAAAACCTACAGCCAGGTTGTCAATGGAGAAAATGTCAAACGCTCGTGGTAACGGAGTCAAGTATTGTGCAGGAAAGTGTGCCTGTATTTTGCCTAACTTCCCGTTATATCTTCAAAGCTGTTAAAGGATTCAATTTTGAGGAAGGTTAGTCGAAGAAACATGTTTGAAGGGCGTTAAATCGCCATGCGGCCCTGAAAAATGTGTGGCTACTGAGCGGTGCACTCACTTTGAGTGATATTGAAAGTGTTTGCAGTCTGTGAGTTGGCACAGCTCTGATAAAAACGGTTATTTTGCAGCCTTTTCTGCAATAAGGGCTGAAAGCGTGCACTAGTTATTGAAAGTGCGTAAATTTCGCTGAAGATGTGTCAGCGAGGGTTAGCGCATGTCTTTTTTTGCATGGGCGTGTTGCAAAGACATGTCCTATCTGACACTATCATCGTGCTTCACGTGGCAGAATGGCTTGCTCGTGGTGACGCACCGATTGTGTGCCCAGGCTGCGAAAGTGTATGCGCAGGGGTGCTACTATATGAACAAAAAGCAGGTGCTGTGAAGAGTTTATAATTTATAAGCTGCATACTTTGTTCGAAGCTAAACCTCTCAACCTCAATGAGCTCCTTTTTCCAACTTGCACAATGAGCCGGCGAAAAAATTTGGTCTCAACTGGGCTTGATTGCTATCGAAGTGTGCACATGCATAATGCACTTGCGAAGGTCGATTTCTGCGAACTTCTGCACAACAACGTTAAACGATGTTTTCTAGCCTGCTTGGCGTTTCTTGGGCGCTTAACACAAACTATAATAATAATGATATCTAAGGTTTTATGTAGCAAAACCGTGATATCATTAAAGGTTTCGTAGTGATGGGCTCCTCAAGTTTCGACCGTTTGGTGTTCTTTAACCTGCACTGACATCGCACAATACACGGGCCTCTACCATGCATGTCATTTTAATCGAAATGCGACTGCCGCAGCCGGTATAAAACTCGTGACTTGAATGGACATATTTCATAGACGTCTAAACGCAGCACTATCACCGTGCTTTCACACCTGACCAAACTGCCTTCGCATGTTGAGGCACTGAATTCGTCCCCGCAGGATGCGAAAGTATCGGCTGCTGTGAAGTATTAACCCAAAGTATAAGCTGTATACTTCATTCAAAGCTGAAGCTCTCGAACCCAATTGGCTCCTCTCTGAAACTTAGGCAGATGAGCCGGCGAAAAAATCCACCCTGACTGGGCTTGATCGCTTTCGTACGCTATTGAAGTGCAACACATGCATAAACCTAGTCATGCGTTCGCAAGGGTTGATTTGTGCGAATGTACTGTGCCGCATAGTCAGTCTGCCTGACACTGTTAAGCTATATTTTCTAGTTGTTTTTTCAGCAGTTAACACGAACTATCATGGGTAATGCAAAGGATGCGAGCAGATCCCACTGCACGACTCGCGTAGCTCTAACGAAATTCTGCCGTTGCGTTTTTTCACAGGACCTTTAGAGACTTGCTTGTTGGCTGACGAAAATTGCCGTCACAGCTGATCGCTTAGACAATGAACAACGCTGATGCCTGTCGCGCTGAATCTGATGATAGCCGCTGCATTCCGCTGATCACCATGTGCCTGCTATAGTTCACACAACATAGAAGACCATACTACGTGCTTTTAGACATTCCTGCTAATGTATTAAACTTTCACGATCTCCTAAAGAGAAAAACTAGTCGTTCTCATCGTTGCATTTTCTAGAAATTCGATATTTGTGCCGCTAGCAGCTTCATGCGCTTCGTAATTCATTACGAGGAGCCTGTTGCTGCAGTAGCATCACCTGGACTGGAAGGAAGTTTCGGGCCGCTTTCAGTGTACGGCAGAGGCGAAGAGTTCAGCAACTGAACAGGTTTAGAAACGTTGTTTTCAGTGATGTGTCGTAACAATATGACTTCACGTGGAGGCGCCGAATCTCTACGTATTAGCGGCAGATCAGTCGTCTGCTCACAATGCAGGTTAGCAACGATGAGTTCCAGTGACCCTGACAGTGATATCTGCAATTTAAATTTTATGCAGGATGCAGCGCACTCAAACTCGGGGGAACTTATTTTGGCTTGTAGGGCTGGCTTGCCATACGAATGCGCAGCGCAGAAAACTCAAATCGTAGTTAAAAATTGTTGGGATTCTTAAGGTTTGCCTTTAATTGTTCAACGTAATAGCGATATCTTGTCCCTAGTGCATACTTCAATTACTTAGTGCAGACTTTCTATTGCGTAATATTACTCAAGGAGTTTAAATTGTGTATTACTACAATGTAATCGATAAGCTTCAAAGTGTTTGGTTGGTGTCAGTGAAGCTTCCACATATGGCTGCATTATGTATAATAGGTAGCATGCTTTTAACCAGGAGTAATTACACGCGTGAAATCTTTTGAACTTGCTATGCACCCACTATGTGGTCTTAAAGGAACGCGCACAGTAATGTGCGGGTTCTCTGTAATGGGTGTCCTGTTTTAAACTACGAAGTCGTTATGATAATCACATGTTCTGACGCCCAATGGCAATGTACGCTTTTACCACGCAATATTACTGGGGTAATGTGGAAATATATGAGTGCACAAGGTAGCAGGAAAAGCACTTGACAGGAAAGACGCTCACTTACAACTGAACTTTTATTAGAAAACATTCATTGCACGAGAACACAAATGCGCAGGCGCAACCAACTATCACTTCAAGGTTCCACCCCTCTCCCCCAAAAACGGAGGTATACGTTTATCTACTTCAACAGCTCAGAAAAGACATCTCTTTTTCACTTATTGCTACCAAAGGAACACTGATACACGTGCTTGCGTTCGCCCTAATCCGTTCTGCTTCCATGATTTCTCTGGTCAGTTTGTGTTTTGAGTTGCCCAGAATTCTCGTGCAGCGAAACTGCGGATTACACCCACAATCGCTTCAGTGCATTGACAAGTGCGTGCCACCTACGAGAACCTTCAAGGACGTCGCATGTTCTCAGAGTCGATCATTTAAACTACGACCCGTCTGGCCGATGTACACTTTTCCGCAGCTCAAGGGGATTAGTACACAACCCCTGAAATACAGAGTACAAACAGTGTGGCATGTTTTTTGGTGCAACCGCTTTTGTTCACCCTTCCACGATTTCCTATCAAGGGGCACAGTTTTGCCAGTTTGCAGGGAGCCGTGAGAACAACGCGTACTCCGTGCTTGCACCCAATATTTTTTAAGGAGTGCGAAATCTTGTGCATATAGGGCGTAGCTACAACGGTTTTTGTTGGCCTCGTTTCCGCCGTGTTGGTGGTACTTAACCTCTTTAACTTCTTTAACATGGTACTGCCTGCTTCCACAAGCAAGCTGTCCGGGTAACCCGAACTGAGTAGGCACCCTACTTGATTCCGGAAACTGCGTTCCATTTTATGTCGACATGATTTGCTGGGTGATGAACTAAGGCAGGAATTAGCTATCGCCCATTTCACTAGCTTGCTGTGAGAAGAGTCAAAGGGTAACAGGCGCTTCTTTGAACGCGGGCTAAACTCCCAGCAAACGGGACCAACAGCACTATAATCAATGTCAAGATCTAAAAACTGCAAAGCCTCTCTGGCTGGTTGTTCGTGTGTGAATGACAATGAGCTTGTGCATTGTTTAAAACAATCCAAAAAGTTGATTACTACTGAAGTGGGTCAACAGTTATCCTCTATGTTTAACATCACTAGGAAGTCATCAGCATATCTGTAGACATTAACTGCAGGTTGTCCCACGAGCTCATGTTGTAGCTTCCGGTCAAACTTGCTAAAAATATTTCACAAAGCACAGGGGCCACACAGGACCCAATGCATATGCCCTTCCTTTGGAAAACTGTAAAATCATAAAACTTCACAACAGTTGCACACAGGTAGCACTGGCCCCGCCGCGGTAGTCTAGTGGGTAAGGTACTCGGCTGCTGACCCGCAGGGCGCGGGTTCGAATCCCGGCTGCGGCGGCTGCATTTCCGATGGAGGCGGAAATGTTGTAGGCCCGTGTGCTCAGATTTGTGTGCACGTTAAAGAACCCCAGGTGGTCTAAATTTCCGGAGCCCTCCACTACGGCGTCTCTCATAATCGTATAGTGGTTTTGGGACGTTAAACCCCACATACCACCACCACCACAGGTAGCACTGGAGTAGCTCCATGACATTATCTACATTAATTAGTGCGTTGTTTTGAAAGTTTACTACCCCGAAAGAGGCAATGGTCTCCCATGTAGCTATAAACAGTTCATCGTGATGGATAGAATAAAACAATTCTTCTACATCAACCGAAAAGCCATAACTAGCACCGCACATGCCTGACAAAGGTCTTTCACCAGTACGTCTGAACACTTCAGTTTAAATGGATCATCAGGACCTCCTTTTTTGGGGCAGAGGGGAGGGGGTGGAACCTTGAAGTGATGGTTGCGCCTGCGCGTTTGTGTTCTCTTGCAATGAATGTTTTCTAATAAAAGTTCAGTTGTAAGTGAGCGTCTTTCCTGTCAAGTGCTTTTCCTGCTACCTTGTGCACTCTCATATATTTCAACATTAGGTTTTACCAACTGGTCCAGCATTCCACTTTATTGTACCGGGGTAATACATGTTGTAGTGCAAAACTCGTATACATGATGCATGGGTTCGTGAAGCATGAACATTTTCACTCTGTTTCCAAGCAAAGGGAGTTCTTTTAACTATTGCCAAGCAGAACAGTAGGCACGGCTGGGGGTTAGAACACGTGCTTGCCATCCAAATGGCCTGGGTTTGATCCTCGCTCGGACTCGGAAATCATTATATTGACAGATTCAGGCATCTTTGTCACATATTGAGTATGGTTAAATTGAAATGAACGATAAAACCAATAAATCATGTATACTAGTGGACGAGCCTTGTAGCTGTATTGTGTAGTTGTTCCCTTTGTTGTACATAGTCTGGTGCTTTAATGCTCACCATAGTTCACCTCGCCGTTTTTTTTTTTTTTTTTTACATTTCATGTCATTTTCCGCATTGCCGTTAATTATTACCGAATGAAAGGGAATAAAAATGTGTACCAACATAGCTGAAGAAAATTTCTCGTTCAAGTTGCAGCCTTTTTTTCTCCCTCTCTCTCTCTGAATAAAACGATACCATTCTTTCAATTTGTACTTTTGCTTAACTAATTGAGTGGAAAAGGAAAACCCGAGTGTCGGCTTCATCGCATGGCAGTACAACAAAAATAGTCATAAAATGCAAGCAGAGAGACAGATGGCCCAACGTTGACCTCTGTGGCCACCTAACGACAAAAAAAGTATGTCGAGTATTGTCCTTGTTAGCTATGTGTAGGACCAATTTTTGTTGATGAAGCATGAGTGATTTTGCTGCAACATTTCTTGATTATTATGCTCATCATTGGTCATGAAATGGTTAACTTTTTCCTTGTTCTAAAGGAAATGGGTGTTACAAGAATTGGTTGTTGACCCCTTATAAAGCTCAGTGCAGTCTGTGCCACAAGCACATCACCACATGCATAGTCATGCTGCTTGGCCATGCTGTCTTTTGCCTTTAATTGAAGGAGCATGCAGCCCGATTTCTCATTCGTGACGCGATTGTACTGACTCGTACCCCATTGTTTTCTTTGCAAACAGAGAAATTCACCATGGACTACAAGCGAGACGAAAAGATCATTCTCCCGACAGCTCCAAAGGCTGCCCGTGGTCCGGACGTGGACTTATCCAAGGTTCCCAACCGACCGCCCTATACGGTCTACCTGGGAAACCTGCCATACGACGTCTGCGACGATGACGTCATCAAATTTTTTCGTGGCTTGAAGGTGAGGAGCATAAGCCCGAATGATTGTAAGGCTACTAAATTTTTCTCTCTTCATTCGTTTTTAACAAAAGGTGTCGTCCGTACGCCTGCCCAGAGAAAGTGGCGACAGAGGTCGCATGCGTGGCTTCGGCTACGCTGAATTTCCAGACAGGAGCACTCTCTTGGAAGCCCTGGGTTATAACAACGAGGTGAGTTATTATAGCAGTGTTTATGTGCTTTAGTACAGTCTGCTCTCGTTAAAGTTGATCATTATTGTCCAGCAAAATGGGTTTGTAATATCCAGACTCTGTCAGGGGGGCTGTATCGCCGTGCGATTGCGATCGTTTCGATTTCGCTCAGCAGTATGGGGCAGGCCAGTTCCACAGATGCGTGCTGAATGTACTTCACAGCATGATTACTAAAGACTTAATCACTAGCAGCAGTTATTAACTTAATGGTGGCAGTGCAAATTCTAATTGATGAGTGAGTGCAGGTTACACTAGCTACAAGTACGCTATGTGGCCACCTTGCAGAACAGCAAAATGTAGCCCAATAATAAAGCGTTTTTACAGGTTCTCTCAGCCATTTCTGTTGATCCGCTTGGCATTAGCTATTCCTTACTTGTGCGGACGGGAAGGCATATAAATGAGGCCACCTATAGGTCGCATAGTGCTCTTGTTGCATGTTTGCAAATTGTAAAGCTAATCACCTGTGATTAATATTCCAATGTCTTAGTTCTGCACAATCATTTTTAATTCTTGTATTCGGTTTACTGCACTTTCCACATTGTATTACTTTTATTACAGAACTCTTACCCTTTGCCGAGCAATAACTTGAGTGAGTTGGTACGTCTGTGCCTTTTTCGGGCAGTGTGTAATTGTCATGTATTATTTTTAATGTTTTCTTGTAGCTAATGTTCCAATGTTTTTACACGTTTTGCCTCACGCCTGCAATTGAGATGTGGCTTTAAGAAGGAAAAGAAGAGAAAAGTGAGCCCCGTAACTGTCTGCATCAGCGTGCGACACCTCAACAGTAGCTCACAAGGGATGGGGGTGAGGAGGGAATAAAAGGGTAGGATTAAAGGTATAGAGAGAGAGAGAGATGCGCTGGGACAGCGAGCGAGGACATATGAGGGATAGGAGAGATAGGAAAGATGGAAACACGGTCACAGGAGTCCAAGGATGGGGCACCACTTGCGAGAGCTCTTGTCGGCGTCAGGAGATGGTGTAGGGAAAGTCCGGCAGGTCAGAGCTACGCTGTCGTCGGAGATCGACGTCGGGAGGTGGCGTAGGGCCAGCCCAGTCGGCCAGAGCTACGCTGACGTCTGAGATCGCGAGGGCACAACCGGTCGGCACGGAATCCAGCGAGCGAGTCCTCGCCTGCAATTGTACTAGGCACCCCATATGCATTGCATATGCAGGTTCTTAGGGGCAGCTTTGATGAATAAGTATGCTTTATGCACTGTACTTTTCTTTTTTTTTCTTTTTTTTTTTTCTCCCCGCCTTGGCATTGGAGTGTTCAGAAATGTCAAGAGTTGCAGAAGGGCTTGGCTTTAAATTGTTTTCTGTGTTATTGCAGAACCTGAAAAGCCGGTCCATAAAAGTGAGCCTAGCTGAGGAGCACGGTAAGTTGTTGACCGCTACCCATCTGCTTTTAGCAGAAATGATCGTAAGATCTCTGTAACAGTGCATGCTTACAGCCACACTCTTTATTTGAAATCCCTGCACAGACAACGAAGGTCGAGAGCGCGGAAATCGCGACATTGGCCGCAGCGACCGGTCGTTAGGCGGCGATTGGAGGGCAATGTCGAGGGACGATGGCGACGACGACCGAAGGGAACCCTCCTCGTGTGAGTAATCTCTTGTCAAGGCTTTCTGCCTAATGGCCTGTGAGCAGTGATGTGGTTTGTTTTGCAGCCTAAACACTTTAATGGTCACTTTTGGTTCTAGAATGACATTTAGGGGGTATCTGATTTGTCATTTGCCAGTCCTTCTAAACATGAAAAGTTCCGTTGTTATGATCAATGAATGTTCTTAATGAATTTTATGGGGGGGGGGGGGGGGTATGACAAACTGCAGAGGTATGACAAACTGCATTTAGAAAAATATACACTCAAACATTGATTTAACGAAGTAATGAAGAATGACTCTATCATAGACACAGTGCTATAAACATACGTTTGTAACGGATTTTTGGGTAAAATGAAGTATTTTCGTAGCAGCTATGACTTTGTAAATAATGAGGTTCAGTGTAACATCAGAAGAAACATTCCAATGCACATTATTAATAAGTGTGACATAGAATAGACAAACACGAGTCTATTCTATAGAATGTGAGAAGGTTGCTGCAGCAGCTTATCAGATGGAGCAATTTTGAAACGTGTAGTTGAGATCGCCACAAGTGCCACGCCCTATGCTTGTCAACCGGCTGGCATGAAAAAATTACATGTCTATCAGCCTGGCTTGCTTTAATGCTTTTTTTTTTTTAAGATAATATATAATTTGTGGCATATGGAAAGGAGTTTGGGGTCCATTAATGTAAACCTTGGTAAGGGCAAAGCATGCTGTGTGCGCCGGTGTTTCTTACTGCAAAATCTTGACTCCTTTACTTGCTACCTGTCCATTAATGCCCCATCACTCTAGCGATGCACGTTTGTGTGCCTGGTCTTCCATTAGAATGGTATAACTATCATTTAAAGCGCACGAAAAAAACAGACATAAAGAGAGGACAAGCGCTTTCTCGCAACTAAACAGTTTATTAGAAAGGGCGGAATATATATACAGGCAACTGAAAAACACGACTCATGCCTGTGCAGGCAAAAAAGTACATCAGTGGCACATCAAGAACACATGGTAAAAGAAGACAGATTATCTCGGAACATACTCAACAAAAACAAACTCTTTATCGTGCAGCAAAACAGAAGGCTGGCTGACGCATTGTTCCCCTCTTTTTCTTATGTGAAACGCTTCTGTCAACTCGCGAGTTAATTTATTATTTGACCGAAAAACCACTTCAGTATCCTGAAAAAGAGGGTGACAACCGCACTCTCTGCAATGAGCCGCAAGATGCGATGCACCTACAGATTTCAAGGAAGAATCGTGCTCTCTGAGACGAACATTGACGCATCTTCCCGACTGACCGATATACACTTTACCACAGCTAAAAGGAGTCATGTAAACAACGCCCATTGCGCACTCCACGAACTTTTTGCTGTGCTTTATGTGACATTGCGGAAACTCTTTGCGCATGCGTGAACAAATAGACTGCAGTTTGCCTTTGGCTGAGAAAAGCACATCGACTTTATATCTATTAGCTAATTGCTTAAGTTCATGTGAAGTCTTATGAAGGTAAGGAATCACTGATATCCTCCTATCCTTTCTGCTCTCTTCGAGCAGACGAGGGGAACAATGCGTCAGCCAGCCTTCTGTTTTGCTGCACGATAAAGAGTTTGTTTTTCTTGGGTATGTTCCGATATAATCTGTCTTCTTTTACCATGTGTTCTTGGTGTGCCACTGATGTACTTTTTTGCCTGCACAGGCATGAGTCGTGTTTTTCAGTTGCCTGTATATATATTCCGCCCTTTCTAATAAACTGTTTAGTTGCGAGAAAGCGCTTGTCCTCTCTTTATGTCTGTTTTTTTCGTGCGCTTTAAATGATAGTTATACCATGCATATCCAACTAGCCCAACTTTCGATTCTGTTGCAATTCCATTAGAAACTTTCATGCCTCGGTAAATTTCGTCGGGGATTCCGACTCTGCTGGTGCCAAGTCAATGTTTCAGTCAATAACGACGAAAGTGAGGATTGGTGGCGAGTAGTGGGATTTATACAATTTTCGCAGTGTGTACCCATTTGTAAAGGACCGTGACAATGTCATGACACTTTAAGCCAAGACCCTTAGGTGTTTCACGCCTAATAAAATGTATTCTGCCATCTTTGGTAAAGTACAGGGTCATGCTGTGAACTTAGTCTGCGGTCTGCACTCACCTTTTCAGCAAGACTGCATGCCCCTGCCTATAATGGTAGTTTTTCGATTATACGGGGATTTCGTGCAAACTCCTCAAAGATGTATAGTGTGTGTTCGACTGTATGTTGATGATGAAATGGCAATAGAGCAATTCATTGCTTTTCCAGCAGAGATCTCAAAGAGAGTTTCAGCAGTGCATTTTCCTTTTTAGTCTTTTCAAAAAAATATTTTAAAATGCCACCGCTGCATTGGCAGCAACCGGAGATAGAGGGGACCCCTGGTGTGGAGGAGGGCCAATGACTCAGCCTCTGAAAGTCCAGCTACGCCTGCTCACTCACGTGCACCAAGGATCCGCATGTTTTTGTGACCTGTGGGTGATTCAGATGCTGTTTGAGTGAGCTCTAATCGAAATGTCCTTTTCATACAATGTAGCCCATTCAAGGCATATGTGAAATTTGTATCATGGCAAAGTTCAGATCGGTTGTGACTATCATCTTGAGCCTTCTATAACTGTTAGACCAAGTAAAGAGTTGTTTCGAGTTTGTATAGGCTGTAGACTGCACCTGTGCAGTAGAACTGCTCTGTAGCGTTTCGTAGGATTTCTTGGCTAAAAAGTGCATGATGCAGGAAGAGATAATGTTCGATAACTGTTGCATGAAATGAAACTCGCATTTTCAGGCCATACTTTTCCAGAAAACGCAAGGACCAACAGTGTATTGGCAAGGTATTATAGCATATCAAGTTAAAGATTACTTGAAACTGACCTGGGAAGCTCCTTTGTGAGAAAACAAGATCGCACTTGTGTATTTTGTAATTGCCACACCACTATTCTACGACCAAGCAGTATGTCTACCTTTCCGTGCTTGGTTTTCAGATTTATCTTGCCAGCTTAGCGACTGTTTTGCGCATTCAGTGCTTTTAGTGAAAAATTACGAGACCAGGTAATTAATGTTCGTAAACAGTCCCATGCATTTTAAAATTTTAATTTTTTTTCCCCTGGCATAATGTTGTAGTTGGTGGCAGCCGGGGTTACGACGATGATGGCGGCTACCGCCGGCCTGGATTCGGGCGGGACTCAGACCGAGACGGCGGTGACTATGGCCGTGACCGGTTCTCGAGAGACCGACCTCGTGGGTTCGGAGACCGCGACCAAGGTTTCGACCGCGGCTTCGAGCGTCGGGGCGGGCTCGGAGGCTACGACAGGCCAAGGGACCGAGACTATGACCGGGATCGAGGTGTGTGCGCTGTCCACATATTGTTTGTCCTTTTGTGCGAAGTGACTACAGGATTCTTATCTTTGCGGGCATCGCAAGTGTGAACAGGGTTAGCCCAATGGCGAGTGCTTCAAAAACTGAGATAGGGCAGGATTACCACTCGCAGACACTAGCCAAGAAGAAGGGAGTTGAGGGTTCGATTAAGATTCTCACCTCTTGATAAACAGTTGGCTCAATTAATTGAGTGTCATTTAGCAACTAACGAATGAGCAACAAACTCATCCAGAAAAACACTAATTAGAAACATGGCACTTTGCAATCATCACTGAATATACCCTGTGAATACGTGTGTCCCCAGCTCCCTCTCTATGGGCATGACTTACAGGGCTTACTTTGTTCTACAAATAATCTATGCAGTGAACTTCTCACAAGGGTGTGGGTACATCTTACCCTCCAGTTGTATTTTTTGCTGAAAACCACAAATGGTCAATGGACCAGTTTCATGGATGGCATACATTAGACCTGCACTGTGTCTCCGCCATATTAGTTTTGGCATCGTGCTGTGCACCACCGTGAACTGTTTCACATTGGTGCAGGTTAATCAAGCGGACTTAATATCTTGACGTATGGCTTAAGCCAATATTGCAGATGTCCAGAAAATGTGGTGCTGGCAAATAACTGCAAGCCGCAGCAGTTCCTTGGAGCACGCGCTTGACGATTCCACCGATGCCCCTGTTTTCCAGGTTTTGGTGGTGGTGGCAGGCGAGAGTATGGGAGCAGCTTCAGCAGGGACGACCGAGATGACCGGTTCAGCCGGGATGATCGGTATAGCCGGGATGACCGGGATGACCGGGATCAGGGTAAGAAGCCTTTTGAGATATTGCCAGGTGTTAGATGACAGAAGGCCTACTGCAACGAAACATCATTCGGGCAATCGTTATTAGTAACAGTCAATGCACACTGCTGTTTGAACCCCTTTAAGAGAAGCATGCTCCGGGTTATAATTCTTGTTTTTTACAGTGTAGACTACTTTAACATACCTGCTTATAGTGTAGAACTGGTTAAAATGTGGTCTTTTCGACTACCGTTCACCCTCCCAAAAAACCCTGTGTATTCGCATTCCGCTTATTGTGCATTCCCCCAAGATGAAGGACCGGTTATATTGCGGTTGCTGGAAAATATTTGTGACAATTGTGGTAGCGAGTCCGCATCTCAAAGGGAGGCGGGCTGGGTGCGCCACTGTGCAGCAAGTGACGAGATCATAATGGGGGGTGGGGGGGGCACGGAGTGAAGGAACAAACAAAAAGCGGAGGGAATGGTGTTGATGCGTGGTTGCGGCCGCCAGCGGCTCAACAGGGCACGTCAATTTCGTCCTTATCAACTGCACCTAACAGTTTCCATCATTACCAAGCTTGCTACAGATGTCCCATTTGCTATTTCGTCCGTAAATTTAAAAACCTTTACGGTTTTATGACCCAAGCTTTCGCCTTAGCTGCCAGTGAACGGTCTTGAGTAAGCTTGGCGGATTTTCGTCTTTGATCTCCCAACCACGAACGCGAGCTTCATATCATGCACACTGTTCTTGGTTCAGTGCTTGAGTGCGATCTTTTTGATGCCGGATTTTCATGTCTTGGACAAACTTCCCGCGACAACATACCGAATGGAAGGAGAGGAATAATTGGCAAGTGATGCGTTTCAGTAGCGGTTGTGTGCTAAAATAAAGTTGGGCTTTGGTACGGAATCAATGAAACTCTTTGCGGTGGCTGCACTTGACGTGAAGGGATACATAAATAAGTATCATTAAAGAAAATGAGGGTGGCACGTGTGGTGCTCAAATGGTGGTTCGCGATTCGATTGCGACGTCTTAAAATCAAGGGCACACCCATGAAATCGAACGATTGGCGTTTTTCAGAGCGGGAAATTCCGGACGGGGTTCGACATATTTTCTGTGTAAAGCACATAATTGAGGTAGCCTGAGAAGTAGGCGGCGAATTTCCACGATGGTGCTTTATTCTGTAGACCACCTCCCCCTTTTCGCGTTTATTTCGTTAAGAACAGGTATCTTTGGACGTAAAATTTTTTCTAACATTTGGAAATTTAAAAAGTTGTAACCTCCACACATCGCATCCTTCGATTCTCAGGCACGCGAGGCTCTTTGCTCAACATGTTTTGCTCTTAAAAACAGGTTGTTTTTGTTATAGTGCTCATATTCCTGACTCCAGCAACTTACGTTGTAGTGAGTGTATACAGTCGAATCCCGGCACAACGAAGTCCGCTTCAACGAAATTTCCGCCACAACGAAGGTTTTTCTATTCACCTTCGATGTCCCATAGGGTATATAATGCTTCGAAATTCCCTCCAATACGAACTACTTCACAGCAGCATTTCCACTTCAACGAAGTTTTTTGCGGGACGAGCAATTGAGGCACGAGCAAAATTATTCAAATTACAGCTTATTGAAATTCTCAAAAGTGTTTTAATGCCTTGACAAACCATGGACCTTAATAACATTTAAAAAAAAACGCACACACACAAGATGTTGCTCAGAGCATGCATACTGGGCGCGACGGTGACTCGCTGCTGCAATGTAAACAACACAAAGCCGCCATACATACCGCGATAGTGATGGCGATGCAATCAATGCAACGCGCTCTCATGTAGATTCAGAAGAAACGTTTTGAATCGTGTCTGTGTACAAACAACACGCATTAATTTGATTTTTATAGTATTTTTAATTATTTTTATAACGTTTGTGAGAATGGTTTCAATGTCAGGAATTTCCAATTTATGTCTACGTACGTACGTACAAAATTGGAGATGCGAGGCAAATCCCGGTAGAGTGCGACGATGCGTTCGGACGACGGCTTCCGCTTCCGGCGGCTTGACTAGGGCTAGCTTCTTCCCAACGAGCAATCGCACGCTTTGGTCATTGTTTGATTGTTTCCCGAAGGTGCAGTAACGCGATCAACGATGGCGCAGCCGGCGAAAAAGCGCAAGTTTTTGTCGCTCGAAGACAAGGCTCGCATCATCGCACAGGCTGAAGCTGAAAAGAAGGCACTCATCGCTGAAGAGTTCGGGATTGCGGCGAGCTCTCTGTCAACTATATTGAAGAGCAAGGACGCGATAGGCAAAGCTCTAGCTTCAGGGACCTCCTCTAAGCATAAGAAGGTGACCCAGCCAGTGCACGAAGCCTTAGACAAGGCTGTTTACACCTGGTTCGTGGAGACGTGGGCCAAGAAAATTGCCCTTAGCGGCGATATTGTACGGCAGAAGGCGCTGGATTTTGCCTGCATGCTCGGCATTGATGATTTCAAGGCCAGCGTAGGTTGGCTAAACAGATTTAAATCCCGCCACAGCATCATCGGCAAAGTGTTGTGTGGTGAAGCCGCTTCGGCGGATAAAGACGGCGCCGCCGCGTGGATGTCGGCCAGCCTTGGAAACATCCTTAAGGACTACGCATCATCGGACATATACAATGCCGATGAGACCGGTCTATTCTACGAAATGTTACCGAACAAGACCCTGGATTTTAAGGGGCTGCGCTGTCAAGGAGGTAAACACAGCAAGAAAAGGATCACCGTGCTACTGTGCGCCAATATGGGGGGATCAGATAAGCGACCGCTTTTGGGCATTGGCAAAAGCGCAAAACCGCGCTGCTTCAAAGGAAATCGGCGCCTTCCAGTGAAGTACGTGGCCAACAGCCGGGCGTGGATGACCCGTGCAATTTTTGGAGAGTGGGTCGAGGAATTCGACCGGGACATGGGCAGGCAAAGCCACAAGGTTTGTCTGCTTTTAGACAATTGTTCCGCACATTCCATTGAGGACACAGAGCTCGAGAACGTGCAGCTCAAGTTTTTGCCACCGAACTGCACGTCCATCATTCAACCCCTCGACCAAGGGGTCATCCAAAGCGTCAAGTGCGCGTACCGCAAGCGCCTTATGCAAAGGGTGATTTTGAACACTCGGTTGGGTCGCGAAACGAAAATCGACTTGTTCATGGCGCTCCAAATGATCGCTGATTCGTGGTGCGAGACGGGGAGCGCCGTAGTCGCGAACTGCTTCCGCCATGCCAGATTCGCAGTACAGTGCGCCGAGACTTCCGATTCTGCGATTGAAGCTTACGATGGCGACGCAGACCGCGATGAGGACAGGTTGCTGGACCAGGACGAAGAAATCGCAGTCGCTTGGGCAGACCTGTAGGAAAGTGATGTGCCCGCCGACGTACATATCAGCGAGTTCTTGCAAGCCGACTCTTGCTTGGTGGTGCGCGAGGAAATGACGGACACAGACGTCATAAAAAGCGTCCAGGAAGATGGTGTTTCGTCGGACGATGATGACACAATCGCGCAACGTGATCCCGCACTACCACCGACTTCACAGGTGCTGGACGCATTCGATATCATCAGGCGTTGCATCGGGTCGCAGGACGACGATGAAGCAATGGCTCTACTGGCAGCGTGCTGAAAGTCGTGTTGTGCCATCGCTTGGCAAGAAGCGGAAACAGGCGAAGTTGAGCGATTTTTGGCATTAAAGCTTGTTCTTTTGCTTCAGCAAGTCCCGTGTCACGTATGTATTTCATCATATCGCGACAACGAATTTCCGCGATAGCGAAATTTTGCGCCCGCCCCGTCAGTTTCGTTGTAGCGGGATTCAACTGTATTGTATATGAGATATGGTATAAGCAAGGTACCTCGTATGCTTTTTCTTGTCAAAATGTATTTTATTGTAGGCGCACTGATGTCTCTTATTCCCGTATGTCTCTTCTATCAGTGTTTCTTATAAAGGGGTTCAACTGTATATCATGTCCCTCAATAGAGAGTTTTAGAATAGCATTCGCAAAGCTTGCAGCTGTTGCGGGCGTAGCAACTACCGTTCGTCACTCAACAGGAGCCTGCAAGAGGTTGGCGTACAACGCATGCGCAACAAAAACGCAAAGCTTTACGTTGCTCTGTTCTAAAGCTCTGTTCGGTTCACTCGCAAATGGTTTTACTCTGCCGGAAAGATAGCTACAAAGTTTGCTGTTAGCCAAGAGATTTTTTTCTAATCTGAGAATTCAATGCTTCTTGCTGGGATGGCATTTATGGCACCACCACCGTGCCTTGTGTTCTTCGGTTCTTGTTTTTTTGTGTGGTTAATCTGCAACAGAGCGGCTCATGGGTCCCAGTAGCCCCAGCTATTTATGTGCGATTACTCTGTGATTTCTGATGTCTGCTTGTGCAACAAAATGCGCGGCTGATTTTCGTCAAGTAACCTTCTGTGTGTCGAGAAATGACCTGGGACTCCGGCTAATCGAGTGTGTCGTATCTTAGACAAGCCCGGAGATTCCTCTGGCTTTGCAGACTCTGCGCCGCGGGAGCGCAAGAAGCTGCAGCTCAAGCCTCGCTCTGTGCCCGTGGAAGCGAACAAGGAGGCCGCTGCCGTGCCCAAGGCCCCCGAGCCTGCACCTAAGGCCTCGTCAGCCATTTTCGGCGGAGCGCGACCGGTGGATACGGCTGCCCGAGAGCGTGAGATCGAAGCACGGCTTGCTCGGCAGCGTGAGGAAGAAGAGCGCCGACAGATCCGGGACCGGGAACCCTTTCAAGACAGGTCAGTATTGGCGACTCACATCATGGCCAAATTACTGGCAGTTAGCACGTGTCAGCGAGACGCAGACACATGCTTGTGTACAGAGCTCGCAGCTTGCTTGTGTACGCATGCTTATGTACACTCCTTTAAAATTTTCAGTATGGTGACTTGTGTATGTGTGATTGCTCAACATAGCCTTATCTTGTTGCTAGAGGTAATGCTAGTTTGGATGTAAGCATTCAGAGTTGAAAATTTACCAATATTACACGAGCTGAAGACTAGAAGCGAGAGTATGTGCATCACTTAAGGGTAACTCCTTTTTTTTTTTTTATTCACCATATCAGTAGAAATTTGAACACCTGTTCTTGTCGGTATGTGGGAAAGTGTACTGTAGTAAGTCATTTTTTTATTTTTTTCATTAAACAAATTTTAAAATTGGTAGCTGATTTTAGAAGCACACTTGTGAATGCGAGCCACCCTGTGTATGGGACATAAGTCCCTACTCGTTTCCAAAAACACCTTTCCCAGCAGACCGATGCTGCGCACGCTTTCTTCTATGAGGCGATGACTACGCAAGCACAGTTCAGTTTAGTCAGCTACATACAGCGTGTTAGTCGTCGTTGATGTCGGGTCTTATAATATTGAGCAACGAGGAATCGATTCGGGGTACGTCAGATACTTCACTCGCCCGCCGGTGGGCCGAAATCAACAAACGATGCTTCCACACTCGGGTAGTAGCCGCAATCATTGCTGAACTTGTTACAGGTAGTTCAGACGAGCTGGAATAGCTTGATTCTGCGTCGGATGACATCGCCAATTGATTTTTCAGCGCATCAGAAGAGGCACATGAGCTAGGTTTACACCCTAGCTAGCCTGTGGTGAGGTGTAGCGGATTTCGTGACATCATCCGATACCTACCATGAAGGACAGAGCAGCTCGCTGTTCTGATTTCTGTTTTGACTCATCGTTCATTGCTTAATTAGGATTGACAAACTGCCTGGGCATAATGAACCCCCCTAGCTATGGCAGGACTCTCAATACCGTACAGTTAAACCTCGTTATAACGAAATTGGAGGGCCGCCGCTATTTGCTCGTTATAACCAATATTTCGTTGTAGCCGTAGCGGGCATTTACCTGCAAATATTATGCACTGTACTTACCCAAAAAAAAATAGCGGGCGAAATAGCATCACGCCGCACGGTGGTATGCAATAAAATAACCGCATTCCCAAATAAAAAAGAAAAATTTATGCACCTTTTTTAATGCACTTCAAAATACACAGCTTGCATTTCAGGCAGACTTAGCTGCAAAGAAGTCCGTAATTGGACGTTGATGCATCTTCCTGGTGCGAACGATGGCTCGCTCAGCTGCGGCCGCAATGTTCAAGCCATCTTCGCCGCCCTCGTGAGCGCCGAAGTAGCGGCGCAGTACGTCCACCGCGTCTAATGCCTCCGACGTCGTCGGCACGTTTGTCTCCTGTTCGTCGACAGAGTCCGTCGACAGTTCGTCACTGGTTTCTATACGATCACTGACAGCGCGCACAATATCGTCATCCAGGAGCTGCTTCGTTGCCACCACTTTCGAGTCCGCACTCACATAGTCGCAAAACGACTCGCTGTCAGGCACGACACCGGCGTCACGAAGTGTCGTCCATGATGCAGCGACTTCGTCTGATGTGGCAAAACCGTCCAGCACAGTGGGCTCGTCTGATGGCTCATCGCCGGCGTCTGGTGCAGCGGCAAATGAGGCATGTCGAAAGCAGTTTGCGATCGTGGTCGTCGTCACACTCATCCATGCCGCCTGAAGCATTTCAAGCGCAGCGTACAAGTCCACATCGGCGTCTCGCTTCATCCTCATGTTGAGCAGAAGCTTGTCTATCACACGCTTGCGGTAACCTGCCTTCAGCGACATAATCACGCCTTGGTCAAGTGGCTGTATTTTTGCTGTGCAGTTTGCAGGAAGGAACAGCAGCTCGATGTTTTGAAACATGGCAGCGGTATGGTGGGCGGTGCTGTTATCTAAAACAAGGCACACCTTGCGGTTCGCCTTTGCCAGTTTCTCGTCCCATTCGCAAAGCCATTTTGAAAAAATCTCTCTGGTCATCCAGGCTTTGCGATTGGCTACGTACTTGACTGGGAGCTGCCTCTTCCCCTTAAAGCAGCGAGGGAATGCACTTTTGCCAATTACGAAAATTGGCAGCTTCTCAGAGCCGGGCATGTTTGCACAAAGTAGCGCAGTGATCCGCAGCTTACTTTGTTTGCCGCCATGGTACGGCTCGCCTTTGAGGGCTAATGTCTTGTGCGGCAACATCTTGAAAAAGAGAGCGGTTTCGTTTGCATTAAAAATATCCTCCGGGCTGTACTTTTCTAGCAGCCGCACGATGTTTTCTTTCGCCCACTTGGTAGCCTCTGCTTCGTCGACAGATTGTGATTCGCCACAGACCGCTCTCCCGACAATGTCGTGGCGCTCCTCGAAGCAATGGAGCGAACCCGAACTTGCTACGAAGTTGTCATAGCCCATGATGCAGGCCAAGGCTCTCGCTTTTCTTTGCGGCAAGGCGCCGCTCACTGGCAGATTCACGGCCCGCGTGTCCAAGAACCATTTAAAAACGGCCCTTTCAACCGCTTCAAAGGCGGGTGCCCTCATCCTCTTAGCGCTTCCTTTCATGCCACGTGCAGCAGCGTCGATGATGGACTCCTGCTTGCTCAAGATGGTTGACAGTGGGCTCGTCGATACGCCAAAGTCTCTTGCCACGTTGCCTTTCTTGGTCCCCGATTCGACGGCTCTTATCATAGCTGCCTTCTGATCTAGCGTTATGCGCTTCCGCTTACCGCCTGGCGCATTCATGTTGCTGGAATCACGAGCGCAGCACGATAAAAGATAAGGCGGAAGCGGTCGAAAAAGAGAAGAAACACGCACGCAAAAGCAATGCGGCTCAGGTCGGCGAGCGACAACACTTGCAGAGAAAATGACTGTGAAGAGGAAGGGGCAGAAGGGGCGCTCTTTTGCGCTGCCCTCTAGGAACCGGTTACTCAAGGGGAAGGGGGTATGCAAGATTAGGAAGCGCGCCTCAGCGCCGTGAGAAAGGGGAGAGGGAGAATATAAAGAAGACACAAAAGAAAAAAGGGCGAGACGTTCGCGGAGCTGCAAAGTGCTCCGCTGTCGGTGGTAGCCAAGCGGCGCACGTGCAGCGACCTCTCCTCCGGAAACAGCGTACCATCTGCTTTGCGCGCGTTGCTGGAGGGCGCGTAGCGGGAGTTTTAAACTGCTAAATACAGTTCTCGCGTTGCGCGCCGTCTCAAATTGGCGTTGTGCACTGTCGTGACATCGGCTCAAAATATTACTTCCTAACAAAATTTGTTCGTTATATCCCATAACAGGCAAATTTCGCCTCGTTAAAAGGAGGTTTTGAATACATTGGTTTGTATGGGGACTTTCAAGGGTAATTAGGATTTGCTCGTTTAAGGAGGTTTAACTGTATTTACTCGTATAATCTTCTCACTTTTTTTTTTTTTTTTTTGCGCGGAAAACCGATCCAAAGTTAGGGGGTGGGAGAATCACGTGGGGAAAACTTGCCACGAAAACGTACGAAGCGAAAAAGGAAACTAAGTGGCCGCAGGTCGGGATTTTCACGCCAGAACAATAAAAGCACAGGTTCAACACAAGGCAAGATTTATTTGAGACGCAAAGGGCGCAATCAAATAGCCGAGAATTGGAATACCGTATGCAAAGCTTGTGGGCGTTGCGGGCGTAACGGTATTGTTCGTCGCTCAACAGGAGTCCGCAAAAGGTAAGCGAAAGGCCTCAGTGTTGGGCTGATTGCCATTTAACAGAATCGTTTGCAGTTGCCTTCTGAAAAAATAAAGTTCACCATCAATCCCAGTCTTGGGCACGCGGAAGGCCCAACATGTCTCGGTGGCTTCCAGCTGCCGTCACCAGTAGCAAACACAAAACTCATCTACTCCGAAGGGCCTACTGGCGGCCCTGTTGTCGTTGTTTAGTGCATAATCAATCACTTTAAACTTGATAGCAGCCGTGTAGCTTCCGCATCACCCCAGAACGTAACAAGATTACAGACACAACATATAAATCACTCGGCAATGCACACTTGCCATTTTGGATTGGATCGGATTGAATTTTGGTGCAATAATAGTAAGCTCTATGCTTAGGAGATGGCGCCAGGCGGTGCACGCTATCATCATCAGTGGCTGGAACGAGCAGATGACATTATTGCACCAATTTTGTGGGTGCGATAATTAAAAAATTAAATCGTAATTTTGTCGGGCGATGTCGGGGGTGTGAGAATTACGCGAGTAAATACGGTACTACAGTAGAACTCCGCTACAGCGAACGCCGCTTCAATGAAATTTCCGCTACAACGAAAAATTCACGATTCCCCGTCAGCAGTTCAAATGAGTCAATGCATAAATATTGTCGCCACAATGAGCACTTTTGCTTCGATTGTTTCGCTTCAACGAAATTTTACAATGCAATGCCATGCTTAAATACTTATTTCTGTGCAGTAAACCCCATCTTTAACATTTCATTGACGCATTTTCAGGCTTTGAAAATGCATCGAAGTCTCAAACGCGCGTTGGCACTACCAGGAACCGCCGCTGTTCAGCAAACATGGGTGCCTCTATTGCTCGATAGCGATGGCAATTAGACTGCCCTGCTTTTGCGCTGGCTTGCTTTTAAGTCGCAGACGATCCGAAGCTGAAGCTCAGTCGCCTAGTTCATGGTTTCCTTCACGCAGCTGCTGGGTGCAACCGTGGAACAATGCCTTTTCGGATTTCGATGCTTATCATTATGTTCGCACTTGGCCAGTGTGGTAACTAATCATAACGGCTGTTCGTCCGCATTATCAACAAAATCGGCTAGCTGCGAGTGATGAATGATGAGAATGGCATAGAATAATGCAAAAGGCGCCGCGCCACGATACCCTCCCTCCATCTCGGTGTTGTCAAATACTTTTGACGGCGGACAGCTGCTGGTGTTAACGTGTTAATGCAACTGTTTGA